TATTCTGATTTTAGTAAGTCTAGGCGGGGTGTTACAAATCTAGCATCCTGCTGGTCCTGCCGCTCGCGAATAGACCAGAGACCCTCGGTGAAACTGTCGAACTGCGTGCCCATATGAGTCCAGTGGGTCTGCTGCTGGGTGTCCCAATGATCCCACTGAGTCTTCTGCTGGGTCTCCCAGCCGGCCCACTGGGTATGCTGCCGGTTCTCGAAACCGGCCAATCTGGTGTCCTGGGCATCAAAGCGATCATGGATAAAGCGGATGTCGGCTGTATACTACGTCTGAAATGCGGTCCACCATCCCGGTGGCTGCTGTGGAGGCGCTTCTGGCTGCAGAATCGGGATCGATGTCCAAACAGGTGGAGGTGGTCCACCATCGACGTTCATGTGCTCATGTTCGTCGTCTCCCGTCGGCTGTCTAGATGGCCCTGGCAGATCAGTGATGGGCGCACTTTGCTGGATCCTTTTGAAGTATGTACTGTAAGCCTGGCGCTGCGTATACTCATGAGTAGTAGTCCGGTTCTTGATTAGGTCAGCCTGCTTGAGCTCCGAGAAGTTAATACAACGCATTTGAGTCGTGTCCTGAACCCCCATCTCACCAAATAAATTGTAGGGCTATGGGGTGACTTCGAAGTGACGGGCGAGTGCCGTAATAAAATTACCAAGGGCCGGTGCTCCACGCCGATTGAGTGCAATCTCTTGCAAGGTGTTCTGCAAGAAGGTCATGGAACACACTCGCACTCCCGCTCTCATCGCCTATAAGAGAAAAAGTTCGACCTCACTGACCTTGTTCGCCTCTTTTTTTCTGGAAATGTTGTAGCAGATGAACCGATGAATTACAACAGTGGCCAGGTCCTGAATAAGCCTGTTGTAGCAAATTATTTTTATTTTTACCGAGAACAAGATTCGTTCCCCGGGTCGATCTCTCAAGGAAGACGGTTCGGAATTTAGCGTTGGTATTGATCACACACGAAAAGAAAATAAATCCTAAACATTCTAATCACGGTTGATTTGGAGAATTAACTAAAACAAGCCAAAACTAGAAAAACAATTTATAGAAATAACAATTAAATTTCTAGAGAAAAGAAGAAGTTCTAGGGGTTGAAAAATCTCATCAAGTTTTAAACAATGTTGAACGCTTATTTGTTCGGTTACGAGATTTAACAAGCCTACACGTCTAGAGGGCTATGCTCAATAACTCTTCGTAACAAGAGCACATACATAAACGATAAACTTATTCAAACAAGCAACACATAGACAATACGTTTCCGAACATGTCTACTCTATACGAGCCTAAATCGACCAACGCCTCCCCTCTCGGTTCTAAACGTCGATTAACTAGGTTAGAATGGTGATCAATCAACTAACCCTATAATTCACACAACTCGCATACATTGAACAAAACACATTCCACATAATTCAAACAAGAATCAAAATCCCTAACCCTAGGTGAATAGATTACCTCATGCTTAGATTCAATCTCATGTTAACTGGAATTAAGAACATTAAACCAATCAAAAATAATAAAATAGAATTGAAAAACTTACAATCGGATTAAGACTTCAAAGATTTCAATCCAAATGTCTTTGTGTCCAACAATCCAAGCATGAGAAAATAAAAAGAAAAGCGGAGAAAATT